ACTCCAATTGCATAAAAACAGGCAGGCTATTTTTTCTTCCCCATAATTTTAAGTCCTCAATTTTCTAGTATTTTAGGCATTCCTTTGCCTTAGTTCTGAAGACATGAAATTTCTCCCACATTTAACCTAAACCTTTTTCTTTTAAGAATGAAAAAAAGACCATCGCTATCACTTTAAGTACTGAAGAAAAAACAAAATTTACTGCTGGATCCAGTCGATGGCATATTGAGCAAATTTCTTAGCTGATCAACTGTTTTGAGCCTGGGGCACAAAGCAAAGCCTGCACCCCCACACCCCCAACCAGAGTGCTGCCTGCAGCTGATGCTCACCGAGGCGCCACTCAAAACAGGTGGGCAGGAGGAGAGGCCAAGCAGTAGGAAGGCTGTTCTCTACTCTTCTGGCCACGTCCATCCCCTGTGGATGGGCTGACCACTCCTCCCTCCACACTGAGGAGGAAGCTCAGAGGAAGCTCAGTGTGGAGCAGACCATGGAGCCTAAGCTGCGAGGCATCTTCCTAGAGCCCAGGCTCTTCTAGGTCACAAAAGCCATCACTGCAAACCCTGAGGGCGCCACCAGCAGCACAGTTGGGGGGTTGCAACGGGCTCCAGAGCAGGGGCAACAGCTGGGCAGGACCTACTTTCACCCAGACTCAGAGGCTGGGGGCAAAGCCCAGGACACGGTACCTTCTCCAGCTTGGCTCGCAGCCGCCTCTCCTCCATCCTGCTCTTCAGCACTTCCACATCTTCCTTGCTGCCGTTGAGCACGATGACGTCATCCTCCTGAAAGGCAGTCCCACACTGGACAGAGAGAGGAGACAGGTCCTGTGAGCACATGGACGGCAGCGACCCCAGGTCCTGGCTCTCAGCCCAGCTACCGGGCCTCCTGTTGTTTTCCCACCTGCACCTTGGCTTGATCAGCTGTGGAGGTCCCGCCCTGCTTGGGGAAGTTTCCGGGCATGGTTAGCCCAGTAGGCCTGCCTACGAGACTGGCCTTGGCTGGTGTCTGGGAATGTGCATTTCTGGAGGGTTCTTCCCATTTCCAAACTGTGCTGGGCTTCTGCTCACAGTCCCCACCCCCGCCACTGGACCCGATCTCTGGGTGCACAGACCCGAGCATAGGGTGGGCATTTAGGAGATGCCTGTTAAGGACTCACTAGCCGTACTTACTGAGCACCTACTGCTGCCTCATCTCATGAAGACAGACTTAATAACAGCCCATGAGGCTCACACACAGCTGAGCCAAGGCCAAAAGGGAAGAGACCAGGGGATCTCACATTCCAGACAGAGGTCTGTGACCTTGACTTCAGAGCAGCACCTTCCTGGGGGATCCCTAGGAACTACCTCCAGTTTCCAATCAGGAGTTCTGGGGTGGGACCTGGGAATTTACATTTGTAATGTGTTCTCAGGTCCTGCAGGTGCTGCCTGTGGGGGAACCAAGCCTTGAAAACCACGGTTCCAGTTTAGGAAGTTGGCGATTGGCGTAAATGGGCTGAATTCCAGCAGGACAGGGGAAGCCCCATTCCAGAGACACAGCTGCTCTCAGCTCTGTCCTGGGCTGCAGTGGCCACTGTCATCCTCACAGGGACCTGCAATCTCAGCTGCTCCCTGGGGAGCCCGCGCTGCTGAGGACAGGGTGTGGGCCAGGGGGCATGGAGGACTTCTTCCTGTGGGCTCTCCAGAGTCCCTCTGCCTAGACCCTGGCCTCAGCTACCACCTCTGTTAAATGGGAATAAACTGAACTCCCAGCAAGGGTAACACCGAAGGGACTAGAATGCCGAGTTGGGCATGAGCACTCAACCATCCTCAGCTACTGTTGCAGTTTTGCATTTTCCTGGAGCAGAGCTGCCGGTATCAGCACAGGTGGAGCTCTAAGACACAGCCCTCCACACCATGCTCTAACCAGCTTCCTTAGGCAGAGGCACTGCCTACCCTGAGTTCTTCATCCATGGATTCAACCAATTTATAGCTAAAAATACTGGGGAAAAATTTTTTTCACGAAGTTCCAGAAAGCAACACTTGAATACTATTTAAATAGTTACCACACATCTGTGCAGGGCAGTAACTATTTACACAGACCCGCAACTATTAACATAACATTTATACCATATTTACAAAGCATTTACATTCTATTAGTAGTAGTGTTGGTCACTCAGTCCTGCCGATTCTTTGCAACCCCACGGACTGCAGCCCACCAGGCTCCTCTATCCATGGGATTTTCCAGGCAAGGATACTAGAGTGGGTTGCCATTTCCACCTCCAGGGGATCTTCCCAACCCAGGAAGATCATTAGGTATTATTATTATTCTTAGATACATTCTATTAGGTATTTTATTAAGTAACCTGAAGGTGACTTCGAGTATATGGGAAGATGGATGTCAGTCATACGAAACACTACATCATGCTATATAAGGGACGTCAGCCTCTTCGGATTCCGGATTTGGAGCGGGGGTGGTCCTGCACCAACCCCCTAGCCCCCAGCCCAATAAGGAGGGCTGACAGTCACATGGCTGTGTTCTCCCTGCTGGGAGGCGTGCCCCCGCGTGGGGGGAGAATGCAGAAGGAAGCCTCACAGGATTCCTCTAGACACTGCCTGAGTCTCCATCCCTCACCATGAGGGCTACACGCCCCTGCTGGATCAGTGGACAAAGCTGGGCCATGAGGACAGCTGTAGGGCAGGTTCAGTGGGTCCTACTAGTCCACTCTGCCCGGACCAGTAAGAGACTCACTGTGCCCAGAATCTCTTTGATAGAGAACATTCTCAGCACAAGAAAAGACATGCAAGTGCTGTTCTTAGAAGTTGCCAAAGCTTTCCCAGCATCTCCCAACCCTCCTCAGCCACTGCCTTAGCTGGGTTATTTATTGTGGTTCTGAGTCCAAAAAGCATAGCTTCAGGTCAAAATAAGCTCATGTTCGGGTAAGTTTTCTCAACTGAAAAGATATTCCTTTGACCTACCAAGTCCAAGGTCGGTGCCAAACAAATAGTTCTGTGCACAATGAGAGAGGCGTGTCCAGCCTGGTGTACAGCCAGGGCTGCCCCTCGAGAACAGTGAGGCTGGCAGGCCAGGGGAAAGGAAGAGCCCCTCTGCAGGGAGAGAGTCCCCCTAACCCAGAAGCCCCGGATTGTGGGAGATGTGTGCAGAGCCTTCCCCTGGAGGTGTCCTCCTTGGAGAGACAATGAGAGAAAATCTGCAGGAACAGGATCGGGTGGTAGATAAGGCCCAGTGGGGCTTGGGGCCGGGTTCCGGCGTCAGTAACCCTCCTGAGCGCACACCCACGAGGCAGAGGAGTGGTGTCTGCTTCCCCTGCTCTGTCACAGTCGTCGTCGTCCTCCTCTGGGGGCTTTCTGTGCCTCCTGCCACCTTCCACCATGCCTTGCTGCCCCGGTCCGATCACGTCAGCGGCCTGCAGCCTCCGTCCCTTGCACATGACTGCTTAGTTGTCTGTGTATAATAGAGGGCTCTACCCTGCCTACTGCTGTGGTGTGCTGCCCCCAGCATTGTACTCTTAGAGCTGACTTAGCTGCTACCACCACCAAGTCAGGAACTGCTCACATTAAAACTCGCGGTATCGTTTCTGGTCTTACATTTAGATTTTTTAATCCATTTTGAGTTTATTTTTGTGGATGGTGTTAGAAAGTGTTCTAGTTTCATTCTTTCACAAGTGGCTGACCAGTTTTCCCAGCACCACTTGTTAAGGAGGTTGTCTTTTTTCCACTGTAAATTCTTGCCTCCTTTGTCGAAGATAAAACTCCTAGAGGAGAACATAGGCAAAACACTCTCTGACATAAATCACAGCAGGATCCTCTATGACCCACCTCCCAGAATATTGGAAATGAAAGCAAAAATAAACAAATGGGACCTAATGAAACTTAAAAGCTTTTGCACAACAGAGGAAACTATAAGCAAGGTGAAAAGACAGCCCTCAGATTGGGAGAAAATAATAGCAAACGAAGCAACAAAGGATTAATCTCAAAAATATACAAGCAACTGCTGCAGCTCAATTCCAGAAAAATAAATGACCCAATCAAAAAATGGGCCAAAGAACTAAACAGACATTTCTCCAAAGAAGACATACAGATGGCTAACAAACACATGAAAAGATGCTCAACATCACTCATTATCAGAGAAATGCAAATCAAAACCACAATGAGGTACCATTACACGCCAGTCAGGATGGCTGCTATCCAAAAGTCTACAAGCAATAAATGCTGGAGAGGGTGTGGAGAAAAGGCAACCCTCTTACAGTGTTGGTGGGAATGCAAACTAGTACAGTCGCTATGGAGGACAGTGAGGAGATTTCTTAAAAAACTGGAAATAGAACTGCCATATGACCCAGCAATCCCACTTCTGGGCATACACACAGAGGAAACCAGATCTGAAAGAGACACGTACACCCCAATGTTCATCACAGCACCGTTGATAATAGCCAGGACATGGAAGCAACCTAGATGTCCATTAGCAGATAAATGGATAAGGAAGCTGTGGTACATATACACCATGGAATATTACTCAGCCATTAAAAAGAATTCATTTGAATCAGTTCTAAAGAGATGGATGAAACTGGAGCCCATTATACAGTGAAGTAAGCCAGAAAGATAAAGACCAATACAGTATACTAACGCATATATATGGAATTTAGAAAAATGGTAATGATAATCCTATAGGCAAGACAGAAAAAAGAGACACAGATGTACAGAAGAGACTTTTGGACTCTGTGGGAGAAGGTGAACGTGGGATGTTTTGAGAGAACAGCATCGAAACATGTATATTATCAAGGGTGAAACAGCTCACCAGCCCAGGTTGGATGCATGAGACAAGTGCTCGGGGCTGGTGCACTGGGAAGACCCAGAGGGATTGGGTAGAGAGGGAGGTGGGAGCGGGGATCGGGATGGGGAATACATGTAAATCCATGGCTGATTCATGTCAATGTATGGCAAAAACCAGTACAATACTGTAAAGTAATTAGCCTCCAACTAATAAAAATAAATGGGGGGGGGGGGAACTCGCGGTATCTTGCTCTTTGTCTCCAAAATTTAAAAGACCCACTAATATCAAACCCACTGTTCCCTCAAGGCCTCAACTGCCTGGACTTGATCTGGCAGCCCCTGGAGAAAGCACCTGGGTCTCCCACCAGCTGCAGGCCTGTCACCTGACCTCACTAGGCTTCTGCAGGACTCCAGGGCCCTGGGTGGAGCAAACCATCCCTGGAGGTGAGTGAAACCAGGGCAGGAATCAGCCTTCTGCCATGATGCCAGCCTCCAGACTGGGACTCTTCTCTGTGGACTAACGGGTGGGAGTCACTTTAGAAAGTGGGGGTGGGAGGGCTGCTGCAAAGACCCCAAAGGGACTGATCCTCTCTCTGCCTATAAAAGTAACATGCACACAAAGCAGAAAACACCCATATTTCCCTGTGAATGCATTTTTCTATGTGTGCCATTACCATACACTTGAAATCATACATTCATTTTCAGTTTTGCTTCATCACTTGGACCTTAGATGTCCAAAAAAAAAAAAATGGGTGGGGATAGCTAAATAAATCATAATACATTCCTAAAAAGGAAGAGTATATATAGCTATTTTAGAGTTTCTGACAACACAGAAAATGATTATGTGTTAAAAGAAAAAGTAGGCTGGAAGTTATCTATTCATATGATCTCTGGATGTTAATTTCTTTTTAAATATTGAAAAAAACAGGTTAGTAGGAAAGTGCTGAAGGAGACAGAATTAAGAGTAATATGCTTCTACATCTGTATTTTTATATATGAGACAAATGTAGTAGTGGTTTCTCAATTTTTGCTCTTACAAACAATAACTGTGATGAAGAACTGATTACATGGATCTCTGACCCAGAAATTTCACTTCTGAGACTTGGTATTCTGTCATAGAACCCTGTCACTTTTCTGCATTCATGGCTTATAATATTAATAAATGAATGTATGCCTGTATGTGTGTATGGACTTTTAAAACAGGGCTTCCCTCTGTCACACCATAAGATCCACATGAGAAGGTTTTATCTTTCTTGACTGTAGCCAAGTCTTAAGCACAGGGTCCTGCACACAGTGGACGCTCAGTAAATAACTGCTGACTAAATGAATGAGAACATAACCTAAAGAAATATTTCAAACCAGGATGAAGTGGAGTGAAATTTTAAAGCCAAATAGCTCCCCTAAAAGGCTGCATGAACCTTACACGAGAATGCCCATCACATCGAGTAAAGGCAGGGGGAAAAAAAAAAACTTATGGTAATCTAAAAAGGAGAAGATCACTCCTCTTTGGCTTTAAGAAATACAAAAATATCCCACTGTATTCATAGCACCTCTTCTGTTATTTATGTGTTTAGGCTGTTTTATTAGGATTTTCATTAAAAAAAGTTTAGCTGAATCAATCTGTATAAGAAAATGATACCGTAACCCTATCTCTCATCCACTTATTACAACAGCTCCTCCAACATGTTTGGTTTTTATTCTGTATTTCCCTGAGAGCTGTGGGAGTGTAAAGTACATGCAGGCAACTCTCCTCATCATTTTCTCAGCTGTTTTCTTCTACTGTTTTTTTTTTCCCCAGGTTACGGATGTGAGATCCAGGTAAAATCCAGCACCAAACCTCTTCCCCCAGGGACAGACCTGCCAGGTCAGTTCAGCAGCACCCACGGGACATTTAAGACAAGCCCTCAGGGTCCCGGGGGCAGCACTGCAGCAACACTTCACGAGCTGGCAGGGTAGCCTTTCGTTTCTTGGTAGAATTAGTCTCTCGACTCAAGAGACCCTGAACACCTTCATACAAATGTACACAGGGTCTCCCCACCGAAAGGCTGCACAGATCTGTTTTTATATAAAAAGCATGCATGTCACACAGACAGCAATGCTACAGCCCCTTAAGATCAGACAGACCAGGTTCTCTTTGCCCCATTAAGAAACCTTAAGCAACATCTGTTCTGCAAAACAGCAACAGGTATCTCGAGTGACCGCAGGTGAAGAAAAGCTGGACTCGTCTGACTTAACAAAGAGCTCAGGTGTCTGGACACCCACGAGGGTGAGAGTCTCTGCGGGCTCTGAGTTGCGTCTCTTGGCTTCACTCTCCCCAGCAGACACACGTGGGGTAAACCTAAAGAGCGGACCAGCAAGTGGAGGACCTTTGAAGCCAGAAAATGGAAGGATGTTAAGAGAAGTACCCATCAGAGGAGGGTAACAAAGGGGGAAGCCACTATTGGTGGACAGAGACTCCACCTCCGCCTCGTGCACAGGCTAAGCCGGTGGCTGTGGGAAGACGGGGCAGGACCAGGACTCTGCCTGTGTCCCTGAAGTCAGGCCTCTGGAGAGCCATGCTAAGGCACTCGACTGCTCCAATGCTACGCAGGAAGCAAGGAGATTTTTAAGTGACTTTTATTTACTCCCTGAATGAAAAAGGCTCAATAATCAATTCTGGCCTCCTACTTTTAAAAACATTTAAGAAATCTGACCCAGGACTGCCAGGATTTCACCCAGCTTTCAGAATCCGAGAAGCACCCGCGCTGCCCTTCACCTGGGCCAGGTGTTGGTTTTGTAAAGGGAGCCAGCCCCGAAGAAACACTCAGGTTCTGTTTTTCAACCCATGGGTCAGAATCGACAAGAATAAACTCCTCCAGGGATGAAAAGGTGACAAAACCTGCCAAGCGACTCTGGTTCATGTGATTTCAGCAGGAGCTGCAGGAAGAGAAGCAACTGAAGGAGAAGAAAAGCCAGGCAGGGTGCAGACACGCCAGGACCTCCGACCCATGCGAGGAGCATCTCTCGGTAAGTGCTTCGTGAATGCCACAGGCTGAGCAGGTGTTGTTACTACTAACAAAATGAAATTTAAGTTTTTCTGTGTCTCCTCCATGCCTTTAAAATAGAACTATTGGAATATCAGTAATATTTTAAAATTCAGAAGTATCGTGCATCTTTTCCTCTCAAAAAACAGCCCTCATTTTTTCATTTAAGCCAAGAAAATTTAAAGTGGAATGTTTTTAAGAATGAGATCAATTTGATTTTTAAATTTTAAATGCTGCCATTTATTGATTCCTCATGTGGGAAATAACTAAGTCAGCCTCAACGGCATGTCCAAACTCTCAGTTCTCAATCTGTACCAATAGTAAGAATGTTGTATTTGCTGTGATTGTTCTGAGTGGATATCCTGAAATGCAGTTTCCCTCTTCATATCAAAGTGGCTGAAGAAACAAATACTCATTTTAGGAATTAGCATGTTGTGATTAAGACATCTATTTTACCAGATAGCTAGACGGTATGAGTTCAAAATTAATCTAATATGTTAAAGCTCAAATAGTTCAAGAAAAAACAACGTTAACTTGTAGGATGCTCTGGACATCGTTCTGAGCCTAGAGATGACAGAAGAAACACAAAGTTTTCATCGCTGCAGCTACAGTGACTTTTTTAGGATAAACACACAGTAAATGGAAAGAGAGTAGACATTCATGGTCCAAAGGTCTCACTACTCCAGGGAACTGGTGGGTCCTAGGCACCCCCATCCAACTTAAGCATCGAGCACCCTCCCAAGCCAGGCTCAGGAGGAAACACTCATCCATCCACTCCCACACCCCTGGGTCCCCCGGCCTTACGAGACAGGTTCTATCATATACCCCAACCTGCAGTCCAGAAGATAAAGACTACATTGTTTAATCCCTGTTAAGTTGACATTAACTAGCTAATATTAATGCTCTAAACCAGAAGTATACTAGAGTATATGGCAAAATACTACATGTTCATCTTTAAAGATGCCCATGATCTATCTATTAACAGGAATAACCTTTAAATAAGTGTGAGTTTCAACAAAATAATTAATTTATACAGAATGTTGCCAACCTGCCTTGAAAAGTCTATACAACTTAAATCCCATCATAATAAAATTCAAAAGGACTGCCCTGAAGTGTTCCAGTGGCAATACCTGGTACCAAACCCACATTACTGGCTTTGTTTTGGGCTGTTAAGCCTTGTTAGTGGGGTGGGAGAGGAGGACTACAGAAGGATAGAGAAGAAAGAAAAAAAGAAGGAAAATATACTCACTGGCTCTCACAGTTAGGATAGTAAGGAAGTGTGAAATAACTTCTTGGAAACGTTTTAGGCTTGGACAAAAAACATAAAAGGTTAAATTATTCCATTCTGAGAACTCGAATTAGAAATCATGTGTGATTGCTAATACCACAAAAAGGAAAAAATCTTAACACCATCCTTAACCATAGCCTTGATAATTACTTCTATTGAAGGATATTCTACAAAATCTCTGAGATGTCATATGTCTTCAGTCAGCTGACTGTAAAACCTTCAAAACATTATTCATTGTCTGGAAGCTATTTAATTCTACTGTACACTATACATATTTTATTATTATTATTTTTTGGCCATTCCCCTACCAGGGACAGAACCCATGCCCCCTCACCCCCCTGCCCCTCAGTGGAAGCACAGAGTCTAAACCGCTGGACCACCAGGAAAACTCCATTATATATATTTTAACGATGTTTTTGCTGTGCTCAGTTGCTAAGTCATGTCTGATTCTTTGCAACCACATGGACTGTAGCCTGCCAGGCTCCTCTGTCTGTGGGGTTTTCCAGGCAAGAATATTGGAGCAGGTTCCCATTTCCCACTCCAGGGGATCTTCCCAATCCAGGGATCGAACTCGAGTCTCCTGTGGCTCCTGCATTGGCAGGCCATTCTTTACCACTGCACCACCCGTGAAGCCTTATTTTAATGAGGTTACTCATTAAAAAAAAAAAGCCTCAACAAAGAACTTCTAGATCTGCTCCTGCTTCATGAAACACAATAACTGCCACTCTTTCTAAAGCCTTTAAAATACAGTTTAAATAAAACTTTTTGCAGAAGAAAAAAATGGCTCAAAAATAAAAGACTGTACTTTTTTTTAAATGGGATGCATGTTCCCCTCACTTAAAAAATATTGCTTATATTTCTTGGAAATTAGTGATAAAAAGTCACATGTTTAACAATTATAGTTTCATGATGACTACAAAAGTTGATTTCACATTACAGAAACAAAAAAATAACAAATCACCAAGAACAGAGGCTAGGAAATGTCTGCAAAGCTGAAAGTGGTGTTCATTACAACTTCAAAAGAAAAAATTGCCAGGCAATAAAGGGTTGATCCCTATAGGAATTTTCACGTTATCTACCTTGTGGAGGCTAAACCAACAGCAAGAACTATTTACATTCAACAGCAGTGGAGTCTCCAAAGGCTTCATTGCAAGGCTGTCCTCGAAAAGCTTGTGTTGGAGCAATGAAAATAAAGTTGGTGACCTTTCCCACAACGTGACATTCTAGCACTCCCCAGTTTCTAGATTTCAAAGTGAACCTGAGCTAAAAGGAAGACTGGGCAACTGTGAACAAGGCACCACAGAAAAAGAGGTGAAAAGCGGCTGATTAACCCTGACCACGCTCCACTGACCATCTCTTTACAAGGGAGGGCAGGGACTTCGCCCAGGTATTGCCCTGAAGGACAACAGGTTACACGGGACTCATCTTCATTTAATTATCACAAACCACGGAAAATACTCAGTCCTCTGGGCGCCGCATGGAGTCTGTCAGTGAAGCAGGGCTAACATTTCTGTGATGAGGCCAGCAAGTTTTACTTTGACCATAAGCTTAAAAACATCAACCAAGACAACAAACTGAAAAATACCCCAAACCCCCTTCTCATGCGAAAGCTAAATGCAGGAGAAAATGTAGTAAACTATGGTACATGGTTTACCTTTAACCAAAATTCTTAACAGAGAAGCATTTATTTTCATTTCAGGAAGGTATTTCCTTCCAACTGGATTTCTGTTTTCATGATAAAGGTTTCTGTCTATTTTAGAGACCAGATATGAAATGTGTTAATTATAACAATGACTCTGTACTTTATAAAAAAAAAAAGTCTTTAAAATTATGCAATCATGTTTTATGTTTGGGACCATCAACAAACATTTACTGAACCAGAGTAAAATGTAACCTGGCATATCTGGGCAGAAATTGCTTTTTATTTTTGAAGCATGACGTGTAAAAAGAAAACTATACAATGAAAATGCATACATTAAAAAAATCCACAACCCTCAATCAGCATTTATAGTTTTTCCTGGCTCACAGTTTTAAAAGCACAGAGATAACTCAAAAATGTTGCCTCATCCATACTTTACCCAAATGGTATTTGCAATAATGATGTGGAAAGGTAAGGGGCCAATGTCAAATTTGAGATTAACACTGGTCAAAAGTAAATGGGTTTTTAAAAACAGGAAGGAGGAATAGGCTTTTTTTTTTTTTTTTACAGAAACTTAGAAATAAGACTCATAAACAAGGAAAAAAATTACTAACAATACAGACATTTTACCTGATCAATTTTCTCCCCTAAATTCCCAAGGATGGTATTTGCATGATAATAATAAATAATTAAAACACCTACTTGTGCATCTCTATAGAGTTCAAGGGAGGCAACTGAATTATTATCAAATAATCTTATTAAAGATATCTTGTTTTTAATCACTGAAGCCTTCTCTAAAAAAAATACATAAATTCATTTCAATAAGTTGAATTATGTAATCACAAAATTTCTCTTGATTTGTTGTTCCTTTTATTGAAAAGATATATCCTCATAACATGATATAGAATAACAGCCTAAGAAATTCTGGGTAATGCAAACCACGACAGGATCTATGTCCAAAATAAATGTTTGAGAATTTTTTTTCCTGCCAAGATAAAGACAATATACTCAACATCATCAATCATTGGGGAAATGAATAGTAAAACCACAATGAATTACCATTACACACCTACTAGAATGGTAAAAAAAATTTTTTAATTGACTACACCCTGTGTTGGTAAGGATATGGAGTAAACGGAATGCTCATACTTTGCTGGTGGGGATATAAAATGGCACACTCACTTTGGAAAACAACCTGGCAATTTCTTAAGAAGTTAAACATAAACACCTGTATGCGAGCCAGCTAGTTCACTCTTAAGTACTTACCTCAGGGATATGAAAAAATAGGTCTACACAAAGACTCATGCACAAATGCTTACAGCACCTTGTAGTATCCTAAAACTAGAAACAACTTCAGTGTCCTTCAACAGATGAACAGATTGTGCCACATCCATTTGATGGAATATTGCTCAGCAGTAAAAAGGGAAAATGGTGGAAAATGCAATGATGTGGATCAAATCTAAAAAGCATTATCCTAAGTGAAAAAAAAAAACGGCAAAAAAATATACAAGTATAACTCCATTTATATAAAACTGCAAAATATGCCAACGCATCTATGGTGACAAGAGCACATTAAGAGACTACCCAGAGACAAGGATGGAAGGAGGATAGAGTACAAGGGGCCCAAGAAAATTCTCATGGGGTAAAAGAAATGCTTAACATGACTGTGGTGTGGGTTTCACAAGCACTTTCACAACACTCTAAATTCTTTCTGTTGTTCCTTCAGGAAGCTGAGAGGAGAACGTTTCAAACCATGGTAATAAGAAGGCAACTGGAGCTCGAAGCATGAGCCAGCTGCGAGCCACAAAGCCTGGTCTTCTCGTGTGCACAGCCGTTTGCATCTTCATTTTTATTTATTTAAGGAATCTGACTCCCGAGGAAGCAGAGGAGGAACCCACCCACCCAGCAGTGGTAGAATGTGGCTTCTATCCAGATGAACTGTGCTCAGCTTTGTTTGAAGGGAAAGAGGCGGCTCCCCAGATTGCAAAGTTCTGTAGAAACCCTCATGGATCTGAAATACTTGCTCATTTACACAGACCAGGAAATTGCTCCAGGATTTCCCACGAGTTGCATTTCATAACCAGACCCCTGTCTGCAGACGAGGGCAGCTTCTCTTTGGCATATATTATTACTATTCATAAGGAGCTGGCTATGTTTGTGCAGCTACTTAGAGCTGTTTATGTGCCTCAGAATGTTTACTGTATTCATGTGGATGAAAAGGCCCCAAAGAAATATAAGACTGCAGTACAATCCCTGGTTAATTGTTTTGAGAACATTTTTATTTCATCAAAGAGAGAGAAAATGGCTCACACTGGCTTTAGAAGACTACAGGCAGATATTAACTGTATGAGAGATCTAGTCCATTCCAAGTTTCAATGGAACTATGTCATTAATCTCTGTGGACAGGACTTTCCAATCAGAACCAACAAAGAAATCATACACTACATCAGAAGCAAATGGAAAGATAAAAATATCACTCCCGGAGTAATCCAGCCACCAAGCATTAAATCTAAGACAAGTCAGAGCCATCTTGAATTCAGCCCTGAAGGAGACATCTATGTGTCTCCAAATGCAGGATTCAAGGTTGAGCCACCCCATAACTTAACCATTTATTTTGGAAGCGCTTACTATGTACTAACGAGGAAGTTTGTGGAGTTTGTGCTGACTGACATCCGCGCAAAAGACATGCTCCAGTGGTCCCAAGACATCCACGGCCCAGAGCGACACTACTGGGTGACTCTGAACCGACTGAAAGGTAAAAACAATCCAGCAGAGGGGTGTCTGTGCAGGCCAGAGGCAACAGCAGCAGACGTATAACCGCAAAGATTCTATTTCAGCTCTCTGACTTGGCAAACAGCTCTATATATTCTGTAAGACCTCCCCCTTGGGTGATCGTCAGCGGGGGTGGGGGTGCAGGGTGTCTCTGCTTTTAGGGATCTGGGGTTTGCCAGGCTCCCATACCAGGCTCACTGCTTTGTTCCCTCTCCAGAAGGAAGTGCCAACATTCTGCATCTCCTCAAATAGAGCCCTTTGAAAATTCTGAGCACAGATCACTGGAAGGTTCTTCCTTTCTTCATTTGCTTATTAGATACTGCTGAATACCTACTAGTACTGTATATCATGCTAGGGGCTCTTTAAGAATGGAAAATATTAAAACTAGCCATTGTGTGTGGGTAGGTAGGTTTTCTGAGAGGCAGAGGGAAATATGATGCTTTCCTTTAAATGGGCTTATTTGCTCTTTATATAAAGTTGGCTAGCTCCTATTTGGGACATGCCTTCAAGCTTGAATAGCTAAGTGAATAGGTCCAGGAAGACAGTGCAAACAATGAGTCCAGGAGAAATGGGTGAGGACCTTTTTAACCACTGAAAATCCTTTCAAATTACCCCCAGAGCTGTCCTTTGTGCAAACAAGGGCAGGCATCCTGAGAGAGGTGGGGCTTTCTTTCCACCTGCTCACTGTGTGCCCGCCTGTCTTCTCCCTCAGATGCTCCGGGCTCCACCCCAAACGCTGGCTGGGAAGGAAACATTCGAGCTGTTAAATGGAGAAACAAGGAGGGAACAGTTCATGAAGGCTGTAAAGGTAAAAACAAAACCCAAGGGAGCTCCCTGGTGGCCTAATGGATTAGGACTCCAGGCTTTCAACTGCTGGGGCCCAGGTTCCATCCCTGGTCTGGAAACTGAGATTCCGCAAGCCAAGCAGCTCAGGAAAACAAAAAACAAAAAAAAAAAATTAAAACAAAACAAAACACATGCCCCAGGATGTGGACGAGTCCAGTAGAAAGATGGCAAGTTCTCTGGTACACACATGGAAGGGAAAACAGAGCGTGCATGACCTCTGGGAGCCTGCAACTCGTGGTGGACAGAGAACTCGTGGAAACTAGAGCAAATCCCTGTGTGAGTCAGTTCTTCGCATCAGGGGGCCAGAGTGTTGCAGCTCATGGCAAACTTGTGCTCAAGACAAGCTAAAATTCTAAAGAATTCACCTAAACCAGCCCTTAAAGACTTCAGGAATCACTAACCAAACAAATGGAAGTTTCACAAGTTCAAAGTTGAAAATAAAAGCCCCTTTCAAAGCAACTGTGGAAATCATGTTTAATCTGAACTTGCAAGAAGCAGAGAGGCCTGACAGATGACCTTGAAAATGTGTCACTTGTCCACATAGATGTAAACTGACGACAAAGGCAGCTAAGTTTCTGTGTTCTCTTCGCAGGCCACTACGTCCAGGACACCTGTGTGTACGGACCAGGAGACTTGCCATGGATCATTCAATCACCTTCTCTGTTTGCCAACCAATTTGACTCGACCGAGCCTCTTGTGGTCTCGTGCTTGGAGCGGTGGCACAGACTCAGAGTTCTAGGGCAGGCAGAGGTCCCTGTGGAGGCACACTGGCATTTCCAACAGAAGAGCCATCTCAATACGGAATTGAACCGCTGAGTTGGAAGTTATAGAGAGTGTTTGCTTTCTTATTGGTATCATTCTGTTTTCTTGACTTGAAATCAGAGAACATTCGACCAAAAAAGAATGGAAAAATAATTCCTTGACAGAAGATAGTCCTAAAATGAATTTAGAAACTTGCTACTGACAAAGACTCTACTATTAATGATAAGCCACTTTCACAGTTTAGAGAAAGAAATCACAAGAGAAAAAATAATTCAAAGTTCCACTGGTGACTGGATAAGTGACATGGAGGCTTGACTGCCTCACTGAACAGTTAATGGAAATCAAGATTCTCCAAACACTTAGATCCAGGCTCAAGTTAGAGTAAGAATGTATCTTGTCTTAAGGGTACTATTGTGTATGAGATTCTAATAAAGAACAAACTCCCACTGAAGATGAAAATATGCTTCCAGCAGTTCTCTTTGGCTAGGAACAATGTAACTTTGTTCTAGAAATCCTAGAAAAACAAGGAAGAGTCTACTTCCTTTGGGTAAAAGGAAATTACGGAGTTGAAACACAACTTCTTACAAAGGCTGCCCCCAAGTTTCTGCAGGCTTGCAGCTGCGATGATGAGATGGTCTGTATCTAAGCTATACCAGTCACAACCACAGGGGGCGCTGGGCACCTGAAATGTGGCTGGAGTGACTGATCAAGTGAACCTTAACTTTAAAAACTTTAATTAAAATTTAAATAGTCAAAAAATTTAAAAAAATAAAATTTAAATAGTCACACGTAGCTGGTGGTTACCATACAGAACAGCACAGGTCAAAGGCATGGATGGTCTTACTTCTCTCTACTCACAGATTCAGGTCTTTCAAAAATCCACAAATCTTTGTTGTTTTGTCGAGGACTTTTTATATACTCTTTCTAAAAGAGCCCACGGCATCATACAGGACTACAAACATACAACTATTGAACAGCATAACTTAAAACAACTAAAATAAGGGGCAAGTAGGAACCACAGGACAGAACACTAAAGAAATTAATGTGTAATTCAAGGACAAAGCATACCTCTCAGTGAACTGACACTTCTCAAACACAGAAACTAAATGAGATTCCAATTAAGTCAATGAAAACAGTCCCTGAAAAGCATGGAACTACACAGAAGAAAAGAGGCTCTGAAAGCAGAGTCTGCAAATCAAACTTGAGCTAACCACAGCACATTTAAATTTCCACTGAAACAAACATTTCTTCCCCAAAGATATGCGATTCCAGGGAAAGCGCACGGTAGAAGGTTAAGACCATCAGTGAACGTCAACGCCCCAGACAGCCTGCTCACAAGCAGACAGAGTTGATGGTCATGCTCTGAGTGGTTGTTCAGAAAGCTCAGGTTCACCACAATCCTGTCTCCTACATTTTATAACAACTCTTTGCAAGTAAGTGCAAACCCCAGTACACTTTTAAATTAAATAAAATAAAAAATAAAAGAAGCTTACATTGTTTCAAGTTACTTAAAAGATAAGTTTCCCTTCATTTCAATGTCAATTATAGAACACAAATTCACACAACTGCCCTCAAAAGGCTCAAATACTGCAATAAATCATTTCTGTAACAGCGAGATTAAAAAATAATAATAATAAGATAACTTAAAGACATGTCCAGCGGCTAAGACTCTGCCCTCCCAACGCAGCGGGCCTGGGTTCTATCCCTGGTGAGGGAACTGGATCCTGCATGCTGCACTAAGACCCGGTGCAGCCAAATAAATAAATAAAAAATAACTTAAAAGGTAGAGGAATGAAAGGGGCTTCCCTGGTGGCTCAGTTGGTAAAGATTCCCTGGCACTGCAGGAGACCTGGGTTCCATGCCTGAGTCAGGAAGATACCCTAGAGACGGAAACAGCAACCCACGCCAGTATTCTTGCCTGGGAAATCCCATGGACAGAAGATCCTGGCGGCTACAGTCCATGGGGTCGCAAGAGTTGGACACAACTAAGCAACTAAACCACCACCACAGTGGAATGAAGCAGCGGGAGATTTGGGGAACCACAAGCTGGGTGTTAGTGGGGCATCAGGGCACCTCCCGGGAGGCCAAGACAAAGCAGCAGCCTCCGTGGACATCAGAACCAGCGGGAAGCTGCCGCGCTCTCTACCCTGAACCAGCCTCTGACTGCATTTATTCGTCACATAAAAGAACAAAATTAAATCACACATAAAACAAAGTCTGAACAATATTTCTAAGGATTGTATCTTAAAGGTGATCGTGAGGCAAATAGGGATCTTGAGATAATTTCTCCAAGTTTCCAGATACAGAACCTGCTTGCGAACATGTAGTCTACTGTTCAATTTTCCTATTGTGTTTTCCTTACATGTAAAAATTTAAGTCTGCCTGTGCTGTATGCTGTGTGATTTCCTAAGGCTTATTATTCACAGAGACCATGAAGATGGCAGAAAGGAAACAACTGAAGGAGGCTGGGCCTGAGAAGCAGAATTCACCACCAGCTTTTGAAGTGCCTCCTTCTTTATCTTCTCCCCTTTCCACTCTGCTCACTCCATGATAAAAACTAAAACAAAACAAAAAACAAAACAAAACAAAAAATACAAAACAGTGTATGAGTGTAAATTTTTGTTTCACTTCTGACTTTAAAACATCCACACACTGCACTCACCTGTCACAAAGCCTAACTAAATGAAGCCAGGTCAGCAAGCCAAATGTTACTACTCACACCTCTACTGACTGATGCGTTCCAACTGTGATGCTGGAGAAGACTCTTGAGGGTCCTTTGGACAAGCAAGGAGATCAAACCAGTCGATCCTAAAGGACATCAACCTGGAATACTCATTGGAAGGACTGATGCTGAAGATGAAGATTCAATACTTTGGCCACCTAATGCAAAGAGCTGACTCACTGGACAAGACCCTGATGGTGGGAAAAGACTGAGGGCAGGAGAAGAGGGTGACAGAGGATGAGATGGTTGGATTGCATCATCGACTCAATAGATATGAGTTTGAGCAAACTCTGGGAGATAGTGAAGGACAGGGAAGCCTGGTGTGCTGCAGTCCATGAGGTGGCAAAGAGTCAGACATGACTCGGTGACGGAACACCATCACCACCCCCTTTAACATCCAGGTCAGCTTCTCAAGCTCACCTGTGCATACAAATCCCCCGGGAGGCTCTTGTTAAAATGCAGTTTCTGATTCTGCAGGTCTGAGGAGGGGCCTGGGAGTCTGTGTTTCTTAAAAAACAAAAGCAAAACCCTCCCAGGTGACGCCAGTATTCACAGGACCATGGCTCATGTTTTGAGTAACAAGCACACCATTTATTTTGCAACCCGTGGTTACTCCAATGTGTTTCTTCTTATTACGAGCAGGGACGAACACAGTGGGGAATACTGTTAGTTTTGTGGCTAGTGTTTTGTTTACCATGAAAACAGAAAAACCTAGCAACTACATCTCTTTGGACTCTTTTCTGAAGTCAAGCACACAGCGTGTGTTTTAGAACACAGAACAAGGGCAACTTCAAACCCTGGAGTCTCTTCTGGTGAACCAAAAAGCCCCATGTCCGTGGAATGACAGAGGGAAAAAGTGGAGAAAGTGCACCCCCTCAGTATCACTCCTGACATTGTTCTTCTTTTTAAACGTAACATTCTACCATGTTTGTTTACATGTTTATTCCTTCCTGTTTCTAAGAATGGTGTTCTTGTGCAGAGGAAACACAGTTCTAACCACTAGACTGCCAGAGAAGTCCCTGACACCGCTCTTACAACACTGGTTCCTCTAAATTTCAGACATTATCTGAAACATGAAAATACTCGCTTTAGATTTCCACATTGTGGCCTTATCTCCCTTCATTCACATTTTCATGATGCACCACAGCTCCTGAAACTGTACCATCATTCCTCCTTTGGGTACTTGGGCAGAAGTGGTTGGTATTCACCTCTTCTTCCGGGGTGTCCAGCTAGACTGCAATCCCCAGGCTCCTGCAGGTAGGTGTGCGCACGTGACTAAATTCTGGCCAAAGGCATGTGAGCAGAAGCAGTAAGTACTATACCCAGGTCTGACCTATAAAATACAAGGCTCTCAGTGTTGACTGCATGAGTGACTGAATGAATGACTCCCACCAAGGGCACCACTGCCTGTCCCAGGCTCTAATTTTCTGAACCAAATAGTGCTATCAGTTGAACTATGCTCCCCACCTCCCCACAAATGGTGAGATCCTAACCCCCGGGGTGTTAGAATGTCACCTTCTGCAGATGAAGTTAGTTAAGATGCAGTCACTGCGTGAGCTGGGATTACTATAAAAAGGGGGGAATTGAGACACAAAGACATGCTCCATAAAGGGAAGACTGCGAACAGACACAGGGAGAGGCAGCCATGGACAAGCCAGGGAGAGAGATCTGGAACAGATCCTCCCCTCGCTGCCCTCGGGAAGTACCAGCCCAGCCAATACTGTGACTGCAGACTTCAAGCCTCCAGAAGGGTAAGAAACTAAATGTCTGTTGGGTCACCCAGTCTGCAGTGCCTGGTTACAGGAGTCCTAGCAAACTAGAATGCAGAGTACTCAACTTAGCTCTGTGTGCAAAGGCGATTTTTAAGGAGATCACCTAAGTGAAAAGAGTAAAATATTACTCTTCTGACAACAGACTGATTTTTAAGGGAAGCTGGTCCCTAAGGTTGGTTCCTGAGTTATACAGCCAGGGTCCCGTCTTGACTGGGCAGTCTCGGCTGCCCTGAGGCCCGTTAGGAGGTAGAAGGAGCCGGCACTCCACTTCTCACCTGGTCTTGGCTGCCGCTTGTGCAATCCTGACGAGGTCACTTCCCCTTTCCCCCTGCTTCCTCCCCTTCCGTGAAGCGCTGGACGGTGACTTTCAGAGTTGACTAGCACTGTGTTCCGAGACACCAACAGAAGGACTCCAGAGTCCCCGAGTGGCACTGCCTTTCCACGAAAGAACGTCAATTTCTCTGCAGAGCTGTGAGCATGCGCTCCTGCTCTGCTGCGGGTCTGTCACAATGGCTGCCACCAAGGACATCCAAGGTCAGCCAGTGAAGAAGACAACTGCACACCCATCTAAGAGGGGAAAAGCCTGATTCCTTTAGATCACTGAGCCTCCCAGCAGAAATAAAAAGCAAACAAAGAAAGAAAAGAAATAGGCGGGGGCTCCACACTAATCCTGAAATCCTGACGTAGGGCCTGAGGTCGGGAGTGGGGACTTAAAAAACCACTGCGGTGACTCTACAGTGCCACCTGGGCTGGGAAGCACTGGTTTAGGGTATCTGACTGCTTTAAGATTTCAGCTTAATTTCCCACCGTCTCATATTTACATTCTTCCAAGCAAGCTTCCAGACTGCACCTGTGGATGTGCCTGACACAGACAATGCCTCACACACTACTTGTTAAAACACACAAACGCTTGAACACAGAGAGGTTCCTTTCCTGCTCATGGGAACGCCAGGCCAGCTGAGTTCCCTCTCCTTCAGGATGCTTCTCTCACAGGCTCCTTTTTCTTACTTGCTCTTGTTTATAGTCTTTTCTCTCTGTCACTCTTAAACAGACCTATACATTGTTGCCCCCAGGGCTCTCTGCTGCTGCAAAGGCATCAACAGCCCCTGATGACAGCACTGCCCTTCAGCCCCCACCCCCGGGGAGCTGCTCCTCAGCCTGGTGCTCCTAGTTTCCACCAGGCAGTCTGACTCACACCCCTGGCTTCTCCCTGCTCCTGAGCGGCCTGGGCAGTGATGGCACCTCGAGCCCGCACCTTCTCAGGCTGCCTGGGCATTTCCTCTCCTGAATGCGGCCGCTGCTCTTCCTCTCCCACCCCCAGAGCGCACCCAACATCACTAATACCATCTCGAAAACTTCAGGCCTTCCCCTGCCTAATGTACTGTCAGCATCTTAATATTTTTCTTTAAATCTACCCATTGTTTTTACTTAAATTTACTTGACACATTAACTTGATCTTGCTAAGTATAAAAATAGTGTGTGTGCGCACATGCTAAGTCATGTCTGTCTCTTTGCAACCCCATGGGCTGCAGCCCGCCAGGTTCCTCTGACCATGGGATTTAGGAAGCGTAGAAATGCAGAGAACAAATCTCTAGAGGCCCTGCCTGCCCAAGCTCTGAGCTTAAGGCCCATTCATTCTCCTGGGAGCTGAGTGAGTGTTGGAGATGCATTAAAACCATCCCAGGACCAAATGGAAACTTTCCCTGCAGGGCAGGCACATGACAGAAGGCATGGGAAATGGGAGCTGCCATCCTGCCACGCAATGTCTTGTGAGGATGTCTGGGGTCCTTCCTGTGGTCCCCGTGCCAGCACTTCTACACCGACAGTGACGTCCCAATCTCTGGGAAAGCCTGACTGATGAGAACATGCTCTGCCTCCAAGGCCCAGAACAAATGCCTCCTTCATAAAGCCACTTCTCACCAGCACGACCAGAAGTTCTCTGGCCCCTCAACTCCAATAACATCCTTACATCCACTTGGCAATTGGCCTCAAGAAACAAAGAAGGGAATGGCAACCCACTCCAGTGTTCTTGCCTGGAGAATCCCCATGGATAGAGAAGCCTGGCGGCGAGTCCACAGGGTTGCAAAGAGTTGGACGCAACTTAGTGACTAAACAACAACAACTCAAGAAACAAAGTAGAATACAATTTTTCATATAACTTGATTCCTGCAGGA